CCCCAGATTCCCAAATAAAAATGTGATGGTGAGAACTGTTCACCCCAAGTGGGAGATGTGTGTATCCCAGATTTTACCTTTCCCTTCCACATGGAGCTGATGGGGAGGGGATGGATAAATAAGAGGTGTGTTCGGTGCATCCTGGGGTGGGAAAATAAAGGGGAAAAAAAAGGAAAAATAAAGAAAAAAGGGGGCAAACCCAGTAAAATGTCTCTTTTAGGGATCCACTATGTGGGGGAGATGGAGGAGAGCTCCCTGATGCGGTTCCTGATGGACCAGCTGACGGATGGGCAGCTGGAGTGGGCCCGGCTCCCGACCGTCTATGATACTGTGGTTCTGGGGGACCCCCAGGGCAATGGCAAGACCTACCAGATCTATTCTGGGAAGCGGGAATATTACCAGAAGCTGAAGGAGCAGTTCCCTGGGGAAACCGCGGCCATCGATAAGTTCCAGCAATTGGTGAAGGTAGAGACGCATCTGGGTGGGATAAAACAAGGGGGTTTGGATCGGGAGGATCACACCAAGAGGGGAGACCCCCTGGCACCCAGACATTGGACACCCCCAGGGAATGATGGCCTTGTCCCAAAAGCATTGGGAAACATCTAAACATCATCCTTTCCTGCCTCAAAACCCCAGCGCCCCAGATCTTCTGGGGGACGTTTTTCGAGGGACCTTTTTTTAAACGGAGCTTTCTGGGGGAGTTTTCTGAGGGAGCTTTTGAGCAGAGTTTTCCCGATTGGGGGAGTTTTTATGGGGAGCTTTTTTAGGGGGAGATTTTTTGAAGGGAGTTTTTTTTTTTTGGAGCGGGGCGAAGCTTCCTGGGGGAACCAGCACTCCCCTTGTCCACAGCTGCCCAGGATGCCCAGCGGTGAATTTAAGGGGAAAAAGGTGCTTTGGGGTATTTTTGGGGCGTGGCCCCGCTGACCCCTGTGCTCCCCCCGCAGAGCACCAGCTGGGGGGTCATGCTGCTGGGTGTCCTGAAGATGCTGCCGCGGTACCTGGTGAGGCTCCTGTGCTGGTCCGGGCTCCTCCCGCGCTTCTGCGCCTTCTCGCGCATGGCCTCGCGCAGCCTCAAGGAGGTGGTGGACGGCCTCACCTCCAACCCCGAGCTCCGGGCTGTCTTCAGCTACATCTTCCCCACCTATGGTAGGTGGCCAGGAGGCTCCAGGGTGGCGTCAAACCGGGAATGTCCCCACCCGGAATCCCCGAACCTCTCCCTCGCCTCCATCCCAACGCCCAGGGCTTTGCTCATGGTCTGCCGCGACTTGGTCGGGTTGGTGACCACGGGCTTTGCCATGCCCGACGTCCTCCCTGCTCCTCCAAGTTCCTCACCTGCATCCCTCCTTCCCCCCAGCGTTGTGTCTATGGTGTTCCTCATCCTAAGACCTTTAGGATAAGCCCCAAACCTGCGATTTGGCCCAAACCCGCCTTGGCTGCCTGTTTTTCCAGGTGTGATCCCCTCCAAGGTCAGCTTCTCCATGCACAGCATCCTGGTGAACCACTTCCTCCACGGTGCGTGGTACCCCAAAGGCGGCTCCGGGGAAATCGTCTTCCACACCATTTTGGTGATCCGGAAAGACGGGGGCAATGTGTTTGGGAGGGCGCCGGTGGAGAGGATCCTGCTGGACTCCCAGGGCAGAGCCTGCGGTGAGCGCCGGCGCGGGACAGGCTGCGGGGCCGCTCCCCAGAGTGGGGTCCCTTCACCAGCACCGCTCCCCACGCTCTGGGTTTTCCCTCCCAGGTGTGAGTGTCAAGAAAGGCCAAGATTCAGTGAAGATCTTCGCTCCCATCATCATTTCAGACGCCGGGATATTCAACACCTACGAGAAGCTGCTGCCCCCAGAGGCACAGGCTCTGCCAGGTACCACGTCAGCGCCGGGCTCCGCTGCAGTTACAGTGTTAATCCTGTCCTAAGCTTCATCCCAAAGCGGATTCATCAATTAACATTTAAGTTAATGTTAAATTGCTCCTGTGCTGCAGCCCTCAAACCCAGCCCTGGCCGCTCGTTTCTTCACAGGGGTTTTAATTAAGCCTAAATTATTCAACCAAAATTGGCCATAGTTAGAAAAGTCCTGATTTGGTGCAAGGATTCCCTAAAAAACGCCGTGTAGGGCCGTGAAATTTGTGGAAGCTGGTGGAATGTCCACCTAAAGTTGGGTTTAGAGCTGCCAAAAAACCTGCTGGAAGGGGCAAGGGTTGGGTGGAAGGGGCAGGGTGGTTGGGAAGGGGCACAGATGGGTGGAAGAGGCACAGCTGGGTGTAAGGGACACCAGTGGGAATGGGGATGGCTGGGTGGGTGTGTGGGAAGGGGGAACAGGTGGGTAGGAAGAGGGCATGGATGGGTAGAAGTGGCACAGCTGGGTGGAAGGGGCACACTTGCGGGGGAATGGGGAGGGGTGTGTGGGAAGGGCAGGGTTTGGTGAGAGGGGGTCAGGATTGGAGAAACCACTTCATAGCAGAGGATCCTAGAAAAGCCTGATTTTCCCCAGGAAAGACTAATCCCCCTTTTTCTCTCCTATTGCAGAGATCCAGTCCCAGCTCTCCCTGGTGACCCACGGCCAGGGCTGCTTCACCGTCTTCGTCGGCCTC